CTTCTAGTTATGCGGACTGTCTGTAAATGGAATTGCTACTTTTTAAGGTCAAACGTGTAACACACTGACAGCCATAAAAGCTAAATCAAGCATTGCTGTGCATAAATAATTTATTGAAATATAAATTCGGACGCGAACAGGTTCCCTGATACCCTGGCAAGTCGTTAAATTGGCGGTAAAATCTGGCGTTGCATGTTTTCTGTCATTAACTTTGGTACTATATTTACGAAGGGAAATGAAACAGCAGGTATCTCCTTCATCTTAGCATCGGAGTTTGAAATTCTGTCAATAATTAGTAGCATCGGTAATAAAAAATATATATATAATATCNAAAAATGATTTAACAGGAGAATATTACTTTTGAGAGGGTAGAAAGAAAATCATGATCTAGCTTCTAGTTATGCGGACTGTCTGTAAATGGAATTGCTACTTTTTAAGGTCAAACGTGTAACACACTGACAGCCATAAAAGCTAAATCAAGCATTGCTGTGCATAAATAATTTATTGAAATATAAATTCGGACGCGAACAGGTTCCCTGATACCCTGGCAAGTCGTTAAATTGGCGGTAAAATCTGGCGTTGCATGTTTTCTGTCATTAACTTTGGTACTATATTTACGAAGGGAAATGAAACAGCAGGTATCTCCTTCATCTTAGCATCGGAGTTTGAAATTCTGTCAATAATTAGTAGCATCGGTAATAAAAAATATATATATAATATCCTATCTATTTTAGAGAATAGCTTAGGTGTTAATATTTAATTCAAACGCCTGTTCTCTTACACTACAGTACGTAAGTCCATGGCCAGTTTGATCTGTATATTAACTTATGTCAATTTGAACCTTTAAATACCTGTTTTAATTAACAGATATAATTATGCCATTGACGAAAACATTCATCTGTATATAATTCGTGGACAACGGGTCACACAGCCGTGTTATTCTGAGTGCGGTAGGCGAATAACCGCCGGTAAACACTCCCTTGCTTATGACGGTCCTTTCATATCTCAATCATTGGGTAAAAATGTAAAATCACAAAAAAATAAGCACCTATAGAGCCGTGCCAGTGATAATTTGTCCATATTTATGTTGACTTGCAACATACACTGTGCTTTTAACTCTCACAGTATTGGCGATTCCCCCGTACAACTTACAAGTACCGAAACCAGAACTTGCAACTCTCACGGGCTTGTGAAGTACACGCTACAACGTCATGATAAAGCTGATTGCATAGGAGGTTGAACTTACCCGAATTGTTGTCCTAACTTACTCCATGGCGGGGCCCGTTCGGCCATCCGATGTCCCGACAGGAAAAGTTCAATAATATTCAAAAACGGACTTCCCAAAATGGAATTAAATAATAATGGGCCGAACTTGCCCCGGTCTCCCCTATTGTAATATCGATCTTTATCTCATTAGAGCTTGTTTATTATTGTTATACCTCGACTTGCCGAGTTTAAATAAATGTTATCTTATCTCATTCTGAAAGTACTATTCTGAATCAGTAGATATCAGAGATCAACAAAAGCTACGCTCTTTCAAGGCTTTGCCTTTTCATATTAAGGCTTTAACTTAGGTGTCTATTTTTATCAGATTTAAATGAAGTATAATGCCTTTTCTCCCATGTTATAAACGGCTTGCAAACAATGTCAGCCATTGCTACTGACTGTTACCTTTTGGAATGTAATTATCTACATATCACCTAAGCGCAATGCCCGCGGTGATACGTTTAGGGTGACAGTGTTATATAATACAATGGACAGTTTTGAAGACTAGATAAGTAATACTGTATCATGGTTTCAGGTCGTCACAGTCAGGACTCTTTTAACGTGCGTCATTTTATGTTACTAATCGGTGCAGTTATTTATGGGTTTTGTTGACTATCTTTTATTTATGTGTTTTGTTGACTATCTTTTATTTATGTGTTTTGTTGACTATCTTTTATTTATGTGTTTTTTTGACTATCTTGCCTTTCCTCGTATATTGAAGGATTATTATCAGTAGACAACGACAATGATAATACTGACGATCGATCAAGATACCAGGTATGTTACGCCAATTAGTTAATTATATTTAAAACAAAAATGTATGATGACGCTTATTTCTGCATTTTACAATAGATTTCTCCCTTTTTCCTGAAACTTCCTAGTGAGAGGAAAATTAATAAACTCAGAAGCATTTGAAATATTCTAGCATTCATCATGTTTACAGTCTTATCAGGTTAGACTTGTCATTTTTATTTATTCTTATCAATACTTCCCTTCAAATGTTTTCAATTAACCTAATTGGTATTATCGTTTAAGCAATAATCTTTATCAAGGTAGACACGTAGTTTATTTCTTGTTAAGTTAGTGAATATATAACAACTTGGCGGATATGTAGGCAATGAAGCCGAAAAATACCTGAAATTTTGGACACCATATCCTACAGTGACAAACAAAAATACGGGGGGTGAAATATCGAACGTCCATGTAAAGAGTTACCCAGCGGACGGACTCAACAAGGAAAACACACGTCCGGTCATGAATAGAAGAGAAATCAAAAGGAAAATATAACCATGACCATGTATTGCTACCCAGCAAAACGATATCATTGAGACAAATAACATTTTAAAACTACTAGACAGTAGATTAATGTAAAAAAAAATCATGGAAAAAAGAATCAGCATATGTTTTCTCCAGATCAATGTCAAAATAATGGCAGTATGCATAAAGCAGTGATATTTACACTGAAAATCGAATATTTTGTATGTGCGTGTATTCTCTATATATATTAAGTCTACGCTGATATTCACATGGTAACCATTGTCCTGTTAACTGGAGCCATTACATCATAACCTTACTAAATATCGTAATAGGTTTCTGTGACGTCAACAACGATAGATGTGGGCGGGGATATGCATATTTTCCATAAACGAGACACAAGTATGTGACGTCATCAACATTGAAGTTGGCAGTCAGCCACCACTTAAACAACATTCAGATTGTCACTTTTATGCATTCTATCAAACGTTATATGTCTAAAAATGAAAGTTTTGTCTGCTGATCAGACGAATTGAATTGCCAAATTAATACTGCTAATGCAAATATAAAGAGTAGTTTACTTCAGCTGAGCACGTGTTAATTGAATTGATAGCGTAGCTTTATAACCAGACAATTATTGAAGACACTTTTCCTTAAATTAACACGTCAATATGAAATGTGTTTGTCAAGTTTCCTAGGCTGTCATTGGTTTACATCAGCAGTGTCATGCAGTCATGCTTTATTATTGGTTTTCGTCTTGTTGGTTTGAGTAAATCCCAAGATAAAACAGTACACTGGCTATAGGCGCGCACATACCAACATATCTTTGTCAAGTTGGACAAATCCAATACCTAAATACCTTTACAAAACAAACGTTAGAACATATAAAATAATTTACTCTTCAATTATGAATGCTTTATATAGGTAGCTTATTATGCATTTACCAATTATATTGGGCTTCAAGCAACTAAAGATGTCTCCAGACGTAAACTTTCTATGGACAGATATTCAAGTTAAACGAGTTATCGCGCCAGGCAATACAAAAATATTTGTTTTTGAAGATTTGAAAACAATTTGGATAATATTATGTACACATTTTCATATATTTTTGCCTTATATTTAGAGATTGAACGTCTGTCATATTGCAGTAACAGCCAATATGAATGCAATCTGGGTGACAGATAAATAGTATGACGTCCGATCTAACAGACGTTCAATCGTTATATTTACATTTCCTCATACGACCTATCTTTTATTAATTAGTCGGATGAGCTTAATTTATATTTCCTGCTGTTGCAAAATCTCACTGGTCCAATTCTTTGAACAGCCGCAGACGGCCATTATCGGACCGACAACTTTCCAAACAACGGTCGCCATTAAAAAATGTAACCAGACGGCAACTGTCAAATTGCAGTTAAATGCTCTAGGTATATGTGCAGATTTTTTTTATACAGAAGTAAGAACTTCCCCTCCTAATCTGGATGTCTTCATTGTCTGCAAAACCCGTCAAAATGCGACTTTATCAACCTAACGACAACAAAAAGATGGCGGCTATCGTATTGGAGGGAGTGGTTTCTAACACTGACGTCACGGAACCCATAGAAAACCCACTGTCCAGTAACTACAGGTTGACTTTTCATAGAGTTAATGGAAAATGGGAAGGTCATATGTAAAGATTTTAGAATATCGATAGATATTTGCAAATGACATTGTTATTGGTAGGTTGTGCAAAAACAGACAACAAATACTCGTGTTTATTCGAAACATGCTTTTTATCTATACAAATATCTATATCTAAACAAATATCTAAGTATAAAAGCAAAAGAAAACTTTGAAATATCTTATTCCATTTTCGTTCCTTGAAAAGTAAACAAACATACTTTAACATATTATTGCATTTGATTATCAAAGACTATGGATAAACTACTTCTATCTACACATGTTATGAGAGGATCCAAAGGGGCGAGCCAACCAACTATTTTTTTTCCATGTAACCAATGCCGTATTACCATAAACATTATTCTTATTACATATAATACTGCAACTATTTCCAAATCTTGACTCTGTCTCTCAGCAACACCCGTCCCACATTAGGTTCCTCCTTTCTGCTTCCATGAAATGGAGTTTTTTTTAAACCTCAAATTCCTGTATTGTGCCCCGCCCTGCTGCCCCTCCCCATAGCCACACCTTTTGCTTATATAAACCTGACATTCCCTATGCCAAAGGATGCTCTGGACCTAATTTGGTTAAAAACCTGAATTTCCCCTATTGGGCTGAACCCCTCTGCACCAAGGGGGTGGGGGGGGCACACTCTCTGTTTACCCAAACTTGACTACCCGTTGTCCAAGGATGCTCTACACAGCTGCTTCGGACTAGGTGAGATAAAAGAAATAGATACAAAAACATTAAATACTTTTCGACTTTGTAAATATAATCATATTAGTATATTGTATGAATCATATGCAATCTAAATGCTCAATAAAAAATCTTACATACATCATCATTTTTCAATAACATTTCATTTAAGATAATCTATTTAGTCACATCAAGCGAAAACCAACTGTCTAGATGTAATTATTTTATGAAAGAATCTTTCTCTTAACATTTCTGACAACAGCATGAGAAACAAATATTAAGACACGTTTAAGTAATATTATATACAGGAATGCTTAAATAGCGTTATATGACATTTCAACAAAGTTACAATAAAGCATCAATAGGAAGGCGTAACCGGTTCACCCGTTGTCAGTATAATGTGACCGGGGGGAATGCCGTGCCAGGTGCCTATAGCTTTTAGAAGTTATTTTGTTAAGAAACCAACACATACACCGTGTTGGACTTTTTAATAGAAATATAATCAATCAACAGCAGCGTTCTTATTGTTACCAAGGGGGATGCTACTGTATACATGAAAATTTCCAGTGCAATGGGAAAATGGTCCTAAACCTTTCGCTATATGGTAATAGGTTCCATACAGGAAGTATGGCAATCATAATTATATACACTATATTTTAAAAACAACACTGAACACCCCTCTCAACTGTTAAGGCGACTTGTAGACGGAATGTCAATTTCTTCGTACACATCTTCATCGCCATCATTACGGATGGAAACACTTGGTTCATGGTCGACATTGATGGTATCAGTATTAATATACATGTCACTATGTTGTTCATTTTCTGCTCCAGGCGTATCTATGTAATAATAGTCTTGTTTGTTAGCTCCAAGATCTTCAGCGTTGCCTACATCCTCATAGATGTCACCGGTACTACTTGTCTCTCGTTGGTTTCCATTCTCGCTGTGATCTCGTATGCCCATGTCGACGTATCTAAATATGTTACGATAAACAGCGTTTGTTGTTAGTAAATCGTATGACTTTTTAATTTGCTTGGGTCATCTTATTATTTCTAGATATTTATAGATATATAGATAGATAACGTGGTACTATAATATAAAGAATACAACACTATTACGATGCCCAGGTGAGTTTGCCGAATTAAAAAAAGGCGATATAAGAAATGAGCTGACAAACATAAGCCATGCTAGTATACGTATTACTTTTACACCACACATAGTGTATATATATACATATTGTACTTACGGTCGCTTTGTTTTGACTTTCCCTTCGTTGTGAAATTTGACGGTATCGCCTGCGGAAACAAAGTTATGTTTGTTTCAGGTAGTTTTAGACAATATATAACGTGTATTGTAAGAGACGTAAGCTTATGTAGCTTGGACAAGGCAGCCTTCGAAAAATATATTCGCTTTACTTAAAGTTTAGGTTTGCTTGTTAGCAAATGAGCGTAAGGCTTTTAGTAATCGCGATCCCAACGTCACGCGGATATCGTGTCCACAGAGTGTATTAAGGGGAAACTTTCAAGTGTTGTTTCACTTTAACGTCATGACCCAGTTCCAAATTCTCAATTCTGAAGGGGGTTTCGACCTGCAGTGAAGCCAGGAAATTAAGACATATGCATACAATGTATATACGTGTTATCGGCACGGCATATCTGTAACAGTTTTTGTGGTGTCCCCACATTATACTAACACACAAAAACACAAACAAATCAATTCTGCAGTAGGCAAAAAGCAATCTCATGATATAATGGAATTGGATGGCTTTCTAATTTTGTGCAACCCTTCACATCTAGCATTTTATGATATCTTAAACAATAGACGTAGATAATATTGTTCAGTTTGTAAATTTACCCAGCAATCCTCAGTATCCAATTTATTTTCGATTTTCGGTAGACTTGTGATATGAATGCAACCGAACTTTTATATTATGAAGTATTTCGTATCACGGACGAGTGCATTATTCGAATATCTCTCAAGTTATGCCTACTTTGCTTTTGTTGGTAGATCTTTTTTATTTTTCAGAATGTTAGTAACAGTATATTATGCTATCAACATTTAAGATGTATTCTAATCAGTACGTTCAGTTGTTTACATTCCTCCAACAAATCATACTTTGCATCTAATTGAAATTGATATTGTCTTTTGTTTGAAATTAACAACACAAACAAAAGGAAAGGTACCGATTGTTTATAATAATAAATCATGATCGAAACAATATTACTGTCAAAAAGAACGTTTTAAACTCGAATTTAACATATTGTACTGTTTTAGCAGAAAGAGATAAAGAATTAGGAAGGAAACCATGTCTTAAAACATGATAATGGCTCAATACTTAAACTTACTCGGTTTTGTCTGTGAGGACCTTTTACGGCAGTAAAGACGGACTACTATATGCACAATGACAGTGACAATGCAGACAATACAAATCGTTGAGGCTAAAGCGATCAGTAAAGTATCATCGCTTTGGTGTTCCGTTTCTGTAATTATGTAAACAGCATTATTAACAACATGTTTTCCCCATTCCAATGCATGTATGATAGATTATACCGCCATTTCACATGCATGATGTGACAATTCGACAACAATAGTATTGAGTCAATTAAAAGCTGATATAATTATTATAATAAAATACTATTAGTCAGGAATCTGGGACTATATGATATGCACTTAATATCGGCAACAAAGACATTTAGGTTAAAATCCAAGAAAAACATTATATTCGAAATGGTTGCAAATCAACAAACAATTCTTATTTTTTAAACTAATTATTGATAATAATTGAAATCAGACGAACACTTCTTTTCTCGCTTAGGAGTGTATGGAAGGATAAAAGCATGATCGGTAATGCTCGCGTTGAGGTATGAGATAGCGTCCAAATTAAACACGAAATACTTGTTTATCATACTATCATCAAAGTGCAATTTGCAATCGATAAATTAAACACAGCAGGAATACTACTACCACAAACAGATACACATATTCCTACAGACCGGAAAAATTAATAAGAAGTTCATCTAAACAATTTTAAGATCGTTATTGACACTTTTGTCCCTTTTTCAGTTACACGTTCATGTGTATTTTGTTTATCTCAAAGTGATGTGTAGATGTTATTTAAAGCTATCTAGTGATGGTTCTCTTCATAAAGATGCCGGATAGTTAAAGACAAGGCTAACATACTTCCAATGTGCGAGACTGAATTTCAACACAGAAATACCATAAACATTTCAGTTCAAGTCATATCTTTTTAGTGTTACAAATTCAAAGTTACTAAACATTGAACGAAAGTGGGCATCATGGCGTTTGATGTAATATATACAAAAAATACGAAAATTTGCAATCCTTACCAGCTTTAAGCTCCGTTATTTGATAGGAGAGTTTGAATACAGAGCTCTCTCCGATGTGGCGAACTGTAATCAAAACGAATTCTTCTGCGAGAACATAAAAGTCCAATGGCTGTCCAACTAGACTTGATTCCTGTGGCACGTGGATAGTTATACTACCTCTTGATTGAGCTGAGAATTTAAACAAAACTAATATTTAAGTATTCCTGTCTCACTGTGTTTGTTCTATATACAGTAACCTCCCCTTAACTTCCGTAAGGATCCCTCTCTCACTGTACTGTGTTTGTTCTATATACAGTAACCTCCCCTTAACTTCTGTAAGGATCCCTGTCTCACTGTACTGTGTTTGTTCTATATACAGTAGCCTCCCCTTAACTTCTGTAAGGATCCCTGTCTCACTGTACTGTGTTTGTTCTTTATACAGTAGCCTCCCCTTAACTTCCGTAAGGATTCCTGTCTCACTGTGTTTGTTATGGTGGCATGTTTCTGCCATCCACTTGCGACTTACGAGTTACGTATGTCGACATAATTATTGAAAGATGTCGACATAACTGTTAAATTATGTCGACATATTATCAATTTTGCCGAGATAATTATCTCGTAAGTGGGTAACTCGGCTTTTTATCGTGTTAATGCTCGGGTGTGACATCGACTTGCCACTTACGACTTGCCACTTACGACTTATTTATGTCGACATCCTAGTAGATTATTGCCGACTTACCAAAACGAGGCTTGTGCACGAGGACCGCGAAGGTGGGCTGATGGTGACTGAACAGTGGTGACTATACTGGTGAGTAACTTGGTAAAATCAATGTAAATATGGGAAATCAAAGATATGGATATTACAGTAGGTTACTATGATGTACAGAGTTTATCAATCAAAGAGGGATTTTACATAAATAAGTCGTAAGTGGCAAGTCGTAAGTCGATGTCACACCCGAGCATTAACACGATAAAAAGCCGAGTTACCCAGTTATGTCGACATCTTCACAGATTATGTCGACATATTCTCAGATTATGTCGACATCTTTCAATAATTATGTCGACATACGTAACTCGTAAGTCGCAAGTGGATGGCAGAAATATGCCACCATAGTTTGTTCTTTATACAGTAACATCCCCTTAACTTCTGTAAGGATCCCTAACTTCTGTAAGGATCCCTAACTTCCGTAAGGATCCCTCTCTCACTGTACTGTGTTTGTTCTATATACAGTACCCTCCACTTAACTTCTGTAAGGATCCCTAACTTCTGTAAGGATCCCTAACTTCCGAAAGGATCCCTCTCTCACTGTACTGTGTTTGTTCTAAATTATGGGCGGATTGGTAGAGTGGTTAACACTTCGGCCTTCCTCGCAGACGGCCGGGGTTCGATCCCCGAAGTCGGCGTACGCATGGCATATGAGAGAAAGTGTTTTACACCTGCCCACACAACTCCAACAACCCAGGTGGAGTATAACATGGTCTGGGGTGGATGTTGCGGTATCTGTGCTGTATAAATCAAGTGAGATGGCACTGTAAAAGATGCCATTTTAAGCACGGTCCCACTACAAACGGAACACAATAATCTCCGGCACACACGCAGACATACACACATAGGGAGATATTAGCCAAGTGGCATAGGACTAGTAGTTAGCGCCTGATAAGGCAGCTCCTGCGAATTCCTCATAATTGAATAGATTAATGTATATGCTAATTGTATTACTTATAAATCTATGTACTGTACAGCGCTTTAGAGTGGTTTATGTTAGATGGATAGGGCGCTATATCAAATGCTGTATATTATTATATTCAGTAACCTCCCCTTAACATCTGTAAGGATCCCTGTCTCACTGTACTGTGTTTGTTCTATAAACAGTAACATCCCCTTAACCTGGTTTAGATATAATTGGAGAATAGTTGGACAGGAATCCTTCGGTTCACCGTGTAACTCAATCGACTAGGGCGATAGTCCAGGGTTCGAATCCGCGTCTAGCTCCGCTGGTATGTTTTACACCAAGAACACCTTTGCTGATCATACCTTGTTATTCATCTTTGTTATTTTTACTAAAAGTCCCGCAAGGTATGTTTTTGTCGCAAATGAATTTATCAAAAGCTATAACCTTGTCGGAGAAACAACTTACAAAACACTAAGTTACAGTTTGGGCAGTGACACGGGGATATTTAAGCGATTAATTTCATAGCCTCCACTATTTACTGTGCTTGAATAAAATAGGAGCAAAGAAGATGCTTTTGACATACGTTACACCATGCAATAACTTAAAGAACAATTGCTAACCTTGAAAAATAGCGATGGGAGAAGATCCGTTGGATTTGAATTCCTCCACTACAATCGATAATCTGCTGCCATTGACAGTGCCTGTCGTAGTGCAGGGTTCAGCGGCAAAGATCATCCAGTTACAGTCTGTATCCCTGATTATGGTGAAACAGGAGAAATATAGTTAGCCGACAGACGAAAAAAGTGATTAAATCGAAACTAGAAATTTATGAAAATGACAAACAGGGTAACCACTGTGACACAGAAACAAAAGGGAAGTCAGCATTGACGGAAACGAACTCAAATGACTGCCACGTCCTCCTCAATATGAAACAAAGTTGTTAACATGTTTTTAGCTGGTTTGATAATAACGCTCTCTCATATCTCTATGTTTGTAATTTACTAATGTCCTCGATTATGTTGCCAACAACGGGGAATGGTGCGTGGATATGAAGGGGAACCTATGTTTGTCCTCCGAGGAGGCTTGATATCAAAGTCTTTTCGTAAGAGGGCAAGTGAAACGCTTTAGCCCTCTGTGGTGGCGGGGTGAATGCATTGTAAATGTGTTGTCCAGTATTAACGTATTATAGCGCCGAATAGCACACTTCGAATAATGTGGGATACCTTTTCATGGGTGAGAGAGTGTTAACATTAACCATTTTGTATTACTTTTTTCGTGTTGAAGGCGTACACTCATGTTGAAACAATTACCTATTCACTAACATTGCACACAATAGTACTTTTTTGTGATTTCCTGTGTCATTGATTACAATTCCACGCCTATTTTTCATCATTTCTTTTCAAAGATAAAACTTTATAAATTGAAAAATTAACGTGTCGTTCCACCAACGACGAAAAAAATACGTTGGTGAACCAAATGCACCTTGCCAAAATCGATGACGCAGGCTACAGTCCATAAAGTGATGACGCGATGATGACGTTTTTCAGAATAACTGCGCTTATGAGGTGTCATTCCCAAGGTTGGTAAAACAGCCTAATCTCCTTCCTAGCAAAAACTGGGATATTTCTGTGAAGTGTGATATAGTATTTAATGTTAAATGAATACTCAATAAGAAGTGAAACATTATATTTGATTTGAATAAATGCCTACATGCTGTTTTCCGGGTAGTTCGACGAGAAAACGTATTTTGACCTCGCCTCTGCTAGAAGCTGGGAGTCTTTGCATCCAAATACTGAAGAGTTCTTAGCTATGTGTAGATCTAAAATAGTGAAATATATATATCATATGCAAATCAAATTTCAGGAGACAATGATATGAATTGAATCAAGTGTTTTGAATTGATAGAAACATATTTGAATGCTTTTATTTCAGCAGTCTATATATATAAATATATATGTAAACATTGAGCATCGATGGAATAAAAAACAAATATATTTCTGTACAGAATATTGTCATTATTTGTAAAAAGTATTGGTGTTTTGAAATTAAACTTTCTAAAGAATACAAATGTACTTATTCACCTTCAGCTTGGTATGACATGTTGAATCCTCGTTTTGATACTGATCCATCCGTTTTAAATTGTAGGACTGACCTGTTACTAGGGATATAATACGTTTTGTTTGAGATCTTTTCTGGGAGTCCTCCGTCTGATTAAAAACAAAGACAAAAGATCTTGCAAGAATATGCTTTGTAAAATCAATTCGAAAGTCATGGGAAAGCGACAGAAAAAAAAGAAAAAAACTTGGATTGGGCAAACCCTAATTTCGAAAAAAAATCCTAGTTAGTATATAATAATATCTACTCAGTTTTTACAGTATTCAGAGTTTACGTTTTTGCTGATAACTGTATTTTGTAAGATCGTTTCATATTTAGTTCAATGTACGTTATATAAATCTTATGCATTTTATATGAGTTTACAACATCCATGTTATTTATTCAACTTAGAAATTAGGTTTTGGTTCATTAGAATGAATAATGACGATATTTCCTGAAAGTTTCGGGGCCTTGTAAAAACAGGACGTATTGTAGTAAAGACAATTCCGGTGAATTTATATAACGAATCTATTTACCAAATGCATATACGCGAAGTCAGCATAATGATAAGTACACTCGGACCAGTGTGTTCAAAACACTCCGACCATGTAGTTACATCAACAAAACGGGTAACTATCCAACGGTCACGTGAAGGCATATGTTACGTACTATTAATCAGTTGTCCAGCAAATACATCTTCACAAGGTTACCAAGTATAAAAAGCCGTCCTCAGTCAAACAATTCACTTTGGAATTGGTTTGAAGTCAGGCCTTTTTATTTGAAGCTAAGGGTTATCTTTATTAGTACTGCCCGATTCAGCGTTCGCCCCTGTGAGGAAGGCTTTGGGTTCTGTCCCCTAACCGAGACACACCAAAGTCTCTAAAAATGGTAGTTTCTACTTCTGCTTAGCGATCAGCATTTTGCGAGTGAGACGACTAGTTCGCCCGTTGTCAGTATAATGTGAACTTGCGAGGTGTCCTGCTGGATGTCTTCGGCAGTATGCTTCAGTGAGGTAGCACTATAAAGTCGACATTAGTTTCGCGCTATCACAAGGAGACAAACAACAACATACCGCAGCCTCCGAAAGCACACGCAAACACTACATCCATGCATCTCGCACAGGGGAAGCCATCCTTAAATACCATAGCTGTTGTTAGAACGTTAAACAATACAAACCAAACCAAACCAATCAATACGGTTGGCGGTACATGTTGTGACTGTAAGACAGGCTTTATCCTCATGTGAGCGAATCGTTAACACTCGTTACTATGTATACAAATGTTATAAACAGCAGATCAGTTCCTGTAAAGGATGCCGTATGTTAATCATAATTACCGTACTTTATAGTAGGGGTGTCCAAACGATCCTCAGTCTCAACAACAATTGTTTCTAACCGTAGCAGAGTACAGGCAGTTGATGTGGCGATATTCCATCTGCACATGGTGTTGCTGCAGCATTAATAGAATTCCAACATATGTTATTCTTCACATAACTGACCAATTTGACAATGTTACACGGCCATGTTATAAATATGGCACACCTGTAATAAACTTAAAGTTGCTGCAATTGGTCAAAACCGTAGGAATATATTCCTACGCAACTACAGGTACTTCTTTGATTAACTTTACTACGTGATACACTTACTGGTATCTTAAGATAAAACAATTTGAAATGTTTATATGATTATTATTTGTATTTCATTCAGAACCTTTCATTATTACAAAAATAAATAAAAAATCTCGAACGACTTTGCACTGCGCGGAACAAAGAGTCAGTTCATTACTTATAGGTGTATCTGAAAGTTTTCTTTCCATTTATCGATATAATATGGTGAATATAATCTTATATTTGTGTCCATATCATGTTAATTTTATTAAACGAGCTGTATAATTTAATATGACATACACCTTTCAGTTCAACCTTAAACATAAATTTACATTCATGTCCATGTCATATTGATTTTTTTAAACGAGCTCATTAATTTCATATGACATTCAAGGCTCGCCTAAAAGGCTGATGTCACATCACATTATTGTGCTCGTTTAATAAAATCAGTATGACATCGACACGTGGAACGATTTGCTTCCGTAAAATTAAACATAATCATACTTCCCTGATTCACAGTTGCTATATAATATGGAACAAAAGTAGGTTTTGTAATGTAACATGCCACATAGCCGGTATAATACTCACTGATGGTAGGCACGAGGGAACCCAGGCGAGGTGATGTACTTCCTTGTGTACGTAGCTTTGACATCTAAACCTGATGTGCTCACACATGTGCAGCCTAAATATACAACCTCATGTTCATAACGATTGATATAATCGCTTATGTTAAACGTAGTGTTCCTCCACTTTTGTGACATCAAATATCCATTTTTGACTTATTCCTGACAATTTTAATTACTAAATGAGAATAATTATAAAAGCGAACTTCCACGAATACATGAATCCAGATTAAGTAATACTGAAAAATGAAAATACAACATTTAATAGTTCGTCAACGATACCAAGAAATCAATTTTAAACTCTGAAAAGCTGTTAAAATTTGTAAAAAGAACAAAATATTGAGAATAAGAAAAGTATCCTTCTGCATATCATCGAAATCCTGATAAGAGATGAAAGAAAAGAGTAAACTGTTATGTAGGAAGTTGGGATATAGAAACTACCCTCGGGTTTACAATTTGGACTCAGACCCTTAGCAAAGGTCCTGTTTTGACTCAAATTCTAAAACCTTTGGCGGGATTTCTCTATCATTCATACATGCACATGATAGACTCTGTTCAAAATACTGTGACTGCCATTTCATGATGTGATCAAGCAATGTTGATGTTGAAATGTCTGATTACCTGTGATAGAATATGAAAGCTTGAAACCTGGAAGACTGTGAGATTCATCTGATGTAAACCTTATTGTTACACTCTCGCTTGGTAGCACATGTTCCGATGTAGTGTTGACGTTCACTTCTGTGATGCCTGCCGAACCTACAAAGCATCATCAAAGAGAGACTATGACATCAACTATGTAATTATCTGTATACAGGTATTCGTTGCGCACCATTAAAATTATAGAGGAAAGGCATGAATATTTTGTACACAATCTAATAATTATACTTCATTTTGACCACAACTTTCATCTTCGATAACAAAAGCCGTAGTGATAATTATGGAAAACCGTACTAATTTGATGTTTGAAAATGTTTTTGTAACTACTTTTAACCTATTTGTAGGAACGAACTCTTTTTCATATACATACCAAAATTTAATTGCATATCTTTAATTTTTTTCAAACTTATTTTTAGTGGAATCCCAGAACTGATTTTACATATATGATTGACCTATAGACATTCCTGTTTTATATGTTTTATTAGTAAGTGGTTATAATTTAATGAACAGGTTATACAAAGAATTATACATACCGTATCGAAATCGAAGTTTGTCGAACATCCATTCAAATGCAATGTATTTGACATCAATACGTATCAGTCCGCAAACAGCAGTGTTCCGAATTATCCAGTAGCAGTTCAGATTACTGGCATATAAACATAGTTTAAATAACAGTCATAAAAGATAATGCGTAAATAATCAATAATCTGCCTAACTACCATATCAGAATGTTAGGAAAAAGTACTATTGATAGTTATAATGCAGAACATTTCAGACACCTGCCATAACAAATCATATAGAATAACTCAATACAATGGTATGAGGATATTAGTCAAACAAATACAATTCATGTACCTGTCACACAAAACAATTTCAGATGACGAGTAACACAAAAAACTATCAAAGAACTGTCAGGCAAAATCCTTCAGGTACCTATCTTTCAAAATCTAATCCGATCACTGTCATACAAAAATATTTAGAAACCTATCAAATAAAAGCAGATCATATTATTATCATTAATATTATTATTATTAAAAAAAGCAAGATGTCTATCGCGAAGAAATCAAATTAATGGCTTACAAAACAATTCTGATGAATATCATACAAAAAATAAAGATTCATATAACTATCACACAATTTAATTCAAATAACTCTTATGCTAAAAAAATTCAGATACCGCCATCGTGTCTTTGTCACAAAAATAATATAGATGCCAGTCTATATTAAAGATGTTTAATGAATGTTATTCAACGATAACTATAATGTTAATGCATATTCGTATAGGATCAAACATTGATCTTCTGTTCTGTACTCATATCTTTTTGGAACATTAAGTATTATATTTATGACATTATGACTCTCAGGACATACTCTACCAATTCCGGAGGCCTGAAGACGAAGAATTCTGTTATATTTTTATTTGTTTTAACGTTAGAACTACAGGAGAGTCCTTTATTAGCAAAATGACTATGTAGTTTTCTGTATTGTGTCACATCCCCTCTGTGTAAATGCATTCTTGCTTCGTACTTTCAGTGAGTATTATAACGTCATAACACTGATCTTTAACAATGCGATATGACACACTTAAAAAGGTTAACTAAAACATAGCACTTAGTATGCGTATTAGAGTTGAATGCAAAATTGACAAAATTTACTAGTATTTCCCTAGGTCCAGAAGGACACGTTTGTAAAGCTAATTCGGCACGTAATCAATCAACAAACGTCCTAACTTAAGTTATGTAAATGTGAGAGGAAAAAACACGTTATGCCCCCCCCCCTCTCTCTCTCTCTCTCTCTTCCTTCTCCTTTGCATCAGTCCAACCCAAATCTAAAAGACATATATTTCGCACTTGACCTTTTTCAATGAACGGAGTAACTATCGCTAAGTTTAGCTAGTGAAATAGTGTAATATTGAAAATTTTAATAAGTTTGTGTTTACTAAATATTTGGTAAGTAACAGCAACCAAAATATGAATCAAATCCACGCACACACACATACACACACATCACCTCTTACTCAGAGACAGGGGACCATTTAAATCGTACTTTAAAGGGCAAATTCAAAGGGATCATGAAGCATGCATGTTTCAATCAAATGTTAGTTCTCTTATGACAGCAACAAAAGATGAAAATAATCCTTTATACTCTGCGTAGTTATCAGGAAATCCTGGTGAAGTAATGAACTGTTCTGTTGATGTGGCATTTAACTTTACACTTGACCTTCCTGTGCATGTGTCGGTTATCTTCCGGCAACCTGTAACAATTCATGAAAAATTAAATTAAAAGCGATCATGTTAGGTTACATACAGTAAACTTATATTCCTCTAAATATTTTGCACTAATGCTATAATAGTGCACGAAAGTGTAAAAACTAGTCCCCTTACACTTTAATATGGTTGTTTAAACACATTTTTTGGCTTCAATATTTTCATTCTTTCCGCGTATAAATTGTTTCCGTCCACATGCCACCACTTCAGGTGAGGATCGGGAAAAGAATATACCTGCCATTATCCACTACATGTATCGTAGGAGGCGACTTATTATGTTGGAATCCCCTGCAGAATTGTGGATTTGCTTTGGTGTCCTCTAAATCTGATGCACCTATTGTAATATTCGGGATCTTCATATTTCTTTCTATTTCTAACTACCTCTTATTTCCTTGCAAATTGCTTGGCAATAACTCACTTTTGTCCTTAATGTTGAGCGTTCGCCCAGGTGAGGGATGCAAAGGGTTCTGTCACCAGGCTTGGACATACCAAAGTCCTTAAAAATTGTAGTTGTTATTGCGTGCTTACGGTTCAGCATTTAGGGGAATGGCAACAAATGGTTCACCCGTTGTCAGTATAATGTGCTGTGCTGGGTGGCTTCGGCATGGTATTGCATTGAGATAGCACTATACAGTCGGCATCAGATCCGCGCTATCACAAGGAGGCAAGCACATCAATATGCATTGTCTCCCGCATACAAAAACACAAACACGCATACACTTCACACATGGACGAACGTCCTTAAATTACCTTAGCTGTTAATATGACGTTTAACAAAATTGAACCAAACCAAATCGTTCGCACGCTTATTTCTTATCAATTTTAGTAACACGAACTTGGTGTATAAGCGAACAAAGAGTGATGTCAACGTGAAGCCTGAAATACCATTAAAGTGTTTCTGTCTGCCGGCCATTGCTACTTTACCCAAAACGTATATTACAGTGTATACCATGTTTAGATTTTTCACCAGTACCCAATGTAAAACTAAAACAACCAGGCCAAGGTAAAGTAGAATATTCTTTGCAAGCGAAACATATTTTGTTTCCAAAATATCACATTTTGTTATAGCAATGACCAATTCAGACACAATCAGCTTTAAAGTCTGATATTTTAAATAAACATAATCAGTATATCTGCTTGTTGAATCGTATATCACGACGGTGAGAAAATATTGGAAAAATAATTAACGAACTCTGATAACAGTCTGAGTTGCTTATTATTCCAACATTTTCTAACCCGAGTAATATTTCCACTGTAACATACATACACTTATGATTATATCTATTCTACATAGTAAAATGTTATTAATGTATTTATTCACTTCTAGCTCAGTGTCCATACGCCTGTGAAAGTCATGTAAGCTAGATGATCTACTTATTTCAATTAGACTGGATTTTTTTTAACATGTAATCATTGTCATAAAATACATATAAGTATCTCTTCATTCCATGATAAGCTGCGCATTTGTTTTTGCATTATTGATCCTGTGATTGTCCTATTTTGTCTTTTAGACCTGCATATATCCTGAAAGGATTTTTCATTTGTAGGTCGTATCTATTGTCTTTTACAAATTGACATCAACAAACGACATCATTCCTGCATTTCTCCGCATATTTTGACGTCATTTCATTGTTAGTTGTGAGGTCACATATGCTAATTATTACACATTAAATATCATATACACATTTTATGCTATATATATTTAAGCAAATGTAAATTAAACTCGTAGGGGAGAGAACTCTCGTTTATTTAAAACATACAATTATTTCCAAAGTTATTTACTTTACACTATGACTTTTTCAATCCAGTCATAAGAGAACAAACGAGTGCAAATAAGTGAGCATTATTTTTACATTTTTAGATTCGAACTACGTTAAAATATGTCATTATATCCAATATTCAGTTCAATAATGTTTTTTAAAAAGAAACCCCACTTTAAGATCCTCTCTTAATTGATATTAAAACCTTCATTAAAACCTTCATTAAAACCTACATTTTTTTCAATTTTGGTCTTGAGGTGATAAAAATATAATTTTGCACAATTAAAATAAATCATTTAAAATAAGTTGGAAAAATATATAATATATGCATCATATCTACATGGATATTTAATACTGATAATGTTTCCTCGATTTAGATAATATCATAAAATAGTATCTTATACAAGGAAAATGACGTTATTTCTGCAAATTATTGAAATCCTGATAAGATATTAAGGAAAAGAGTAAACTGTTATGTAGGAAGTTGGGATATAGAAACTGCCCCCGGGTTTACAATTTGGACTCAGAACCTTAGCAAAGGTTCTGTTTTGACTCAAATTCTACAATCTTTGGCGGAATTTCTCTATCCTCTATACACTCACATGATAGACTCTGCTCAAAATACTGTGACTGCCATTTCATAATGTGATCATGCAATATTAATGTTGAAATGTCTGATTACCTGTGATAGAATATGAAAGCTTGAAACCTCGAAGACTCTGAGAACTATCAGATGTAAACCTTATTGTAACACTCTCGCTTGGTAACACATGTTCCGATGTAGTGTTGACGTTCACTTCTGTGATGCCTGCCGAACCTACAAAGCATCATCAAAGAGAGACTATGACATCAACTATGTAATTATCTGTATACAAGTATTCGTTGCGCACCATTAAAAGTATAGAGGAAAGGCATATATATTTGATTGTATTCAAACTTATTTTTCCTGGAATCCCAGAACTGATTTTACATATATGAATGATCAATGGACCTTCATGCTTTATATGTTTTATTACTAAGTGGTTATACTTTTATGAACAGGTTATACAAAGTATTATACATACCGTATCGAAATCGAAGTTTGTCGTACTCCCATTCAAATTCAATGAATTTGACATCAATACGTAGTCCGCAAGAAGCAGTGTTCCGAATGATCCAGTAGCAGTTCAGATTACTGGCATATAAACATAGTTTAAATAACAGTCAGAAAAGATAATGCGTAAATAATCAATAATCTGCCTAACTACCATATCAGAATATTAGGAAAACGTACTATTGATAGTTATCATGCAGAACATTTCAGACACCTGCCATACAAAATCATAAAGAAAAAACTCAATACAAAAGTATGAGGATATTAGACAAACAAATACGATTCATATAACTACCACACAAAACAATTTCCGATGTCGAATATCACAAAAAAAACTATCAAAGAACTGTCAGGCAAAATCCTTCAGGTAACGTTCTTTCAAAAACCAATCCGATCACTGTCATACTAAAATATTTAGAAATCAATCATATATTACAGCATTTCAGATTACAATCATGAAAAAAAAATCTTTATCGCGAAGAATTCAGATTTCTGGCTTACAACACAATTCAGATGCATATCATACCAAAAATATAGATTCATGTAACTATCACACATTTAAATTCAAATAACTGTTATGCTAAAACATTTCATATAGTGCCATCGTGTTTTTGTCACGAGGGGGGTGGGGGGATCCATGTACCATATGAGCCGGCGGCTCAAGATTGAAGATGGCGCCCGTCAGGCCATGCTGTCAGCCCGGGGGCTAGAATTAAAGTTATGAGCACGGGTTCAAAGAAGAAAGTTCATGAAATTTACCGTGATAGAGAAATGTTGTTACTACTTTAAAATTTTAAAATATTGACCTAACATGTTAATAGGACGTTAAACAAAATATAACCAAAACAAAATAATGAGCTCAGTGCGCTCGGAAGGGTCACGATATTATGCATTAAGGCCCGGGTTATACGGCACGATTTCTCACCCGGAAACGATTTATCACCCGCTAAAATAATATTGATACCAGTCTATATTAAAGAATTGTTTAAGAATGTTATTCAATGATTACTATAATGTTATTTCATATTCTTATATGATCAAACATTGATCTTTTGTTCTGTACTGATATAATTTTGGAACCTTAATTATTACATGTATGACATTGAGACATATCTACCAATTCCTGAAGCCTTAAGGCGAATAATCATATTTAATTTTAAATTTTTACCATTAGCACTCCTGGAGAGTCCTAAATTAGTAAAATTACTATATGATGAAGTAAAATTGTAACTGTCCGTGTTCACTCACTAAACATCTGTATAAGTTTCAGATTCTACTTTAATGTCACGACATGTTATTGAGACACTTAAGGCATACTCTACAATTTCCGGAAACCATTAGACGAAGAATTCTATTGTACTTTTATACCGTTAGAACTACAGGAGAGTCCTTAATTAGCGAAATAACGAAAAAAAATCTGTATTTTGTCACATAACCTCTGTATAAATGCATTCTTACTTCGTACTTTCAGTGCGTATTATAACACTGAACTCAAACATTATCATATTTATCTCGGTTTACTCAAACATCAGACGTTAGTATGCGTATTAGAAGTGAATGCAAATTTAACCAGTATTTATGTATTTATATTATGTACATGTAAGAGGGAAAAAACAAGTTACCCAGCCCCTTCCAACCACAACCCTAAAACACATATATTTTGCATTTAACCTTTGTCAATGAACGGATAGCTATAGATCAGATTGTAATGTTGAATAAGTTTGTGTTTACATCATATCGGCAACAAAAAAAATTCAAGCACACACACAACTTTTCACTAATGCTGGTAGAAAAAAGTGACCTTTAATCGTAATTTAAAAGGCAAAATCACAGGGATCGTGACGCACGTATGTTTCAATTAAATGTTCGGCATCTTGTGCTTGCAACCAAAAATGTAAATTATAATATTTACTTAGCGTAGTTATCAGGAAATCCTGGAGAAGTAATGAACTTTTCAATGGATGTTGCATTTAACTTCACACCTGGCGTTCCCGTGCATGTATCGGTTGTCATCTGACAACCTGTAACAATTTATGAGAAATTAAATCAAGAGCGATCATATCAGGTTAGATGCAGTTAACTTATATTTCTCCAAACATTATATGCATTAATGATATGATAGTGCAGAACAGTGTAAAAAACTAGCCCACTTACACGTTAATCTGGTTGTCTAAACACATTTTATGGCTGCAATGTTTTCATGCTTTCCGCGTATAAATCGTTTCTGTCCGCATGCTTATTTCCTATCAATTGTAGAAACACCTACTTGGTGTATAAGCGTACCTAGAGTGATGTCACTGTTAAGTTTTGAAACAACACTAAAATGTTTACGTCTGCCGGTCATTGTTACTTAACATATAACGTTTATAACAATATATACTGCATTTCACGACATAATGAAGCATCCATTTGATCGGCTTTTCAATTATCTATGTGATTACAGGTTCTTTTTGTACGATATAGCTTATTCTAGATGATCTATTAGTTTTCCTATCAACCCACAGCATGACTTTCATTGATATTACTACCATCAGAAAGGCATTTTGCTATTCCGGCAAGTATAATCATTCTGGATGATATTAGAAGTCTGACAAGTTTTTAAAAGTAATATATATATATATATATATATATATATATGAAACTTACCTACTCTCCCTACACATATACAAAAGTATATGAGAAATTTCAGCTCCTCCATGATCGACCGTTTGTGTCATCACAACTCCATGTTATTTCCTTATGTTATATTTATTTTGTCGACTTATAGAAGACAATCATTGACCTTTTGACCGCATCAAGTGTATGTGGCAATTACTCATCAAATGTTACATACATATACGATCATAACGCACGTGATACACCAACGTACATAGTACTACCATTTAAGGATCCCTGTCCCACTGCACTACAATTTTCACCTATACACAGTAACCTCCCCTTAAGTACCATTTGGCTATAACTGTAGTACATTTGGGCAAGTTCACTTCCGTTGATTAGTAACTCGACCAGTAATATCGATAATATTTCAGTCAAAGGTTGAACCCCGGTCAAGTCCCTCATTTTTCCAGTCAAACACTTTTATTGATAATGCTTTTTATCGGTATTTACAGTACGCTGTAGGCTCTTGTGAGACTTGGAGTATGGTGTCATCGGTAGGCTGCTGTCAAGCATGGAGTGTTTTGTCCTGCGTATACTGTTGTCAGACGTTGATTGTGTTGTCCTCGGTAGGCTGATGTCGGACATTGATTGTGTTGTCCTCGGTAGGCTGTTGTCAGACGTTGATTGTGTTGTCCTCGGTAGGTTGTTGTCAGACGTTGATTGTGTTGTCCTCGGTAGGTTGTTGTCAGACTTTTAGTGTGTTGTCCACGGTAGGCTTATGTCTGGCGTTGTGTCTAGTGTCCTCGGTAGACTGTTGTCAGACTTGGATTGTGTTGTCCTCAATAAGCTGTTTCAGACTTCGAGTATGGTGTCATCGGTAGGCTGTCGTCAGGCATGGAGTGTGGTGTCGTTGGTAGGCTGTTGTCAGGAGTGGTGTTTGGTTTTCTCGATAGGTTGTTGTCGGGCGTGGAGTGTGGTGTTCTCGATAGGTTGTTGTCGGGCGTGGAGTGTGGTGTCGTTGGTAGGCTATTGTCAGGCGTGGTGTTTGGTTTTCTCGATAGGTTGGTGTCGGGCGTTGAGTGTGGTGCCCTCAGTAGGTTGTTGTCGGGCGTGAAGTCTAGTGTCCTCGCTAGACTAGCATCATGCTTAGATTGTGTTGCCCCTGGCAAATTGTTGTCGGACGTGGTGTCTGGTGTCCGCGGTAGGCTGTTTCGGCGTGGAGTGTGTTGTCCTTTGTTAGCTGTTTTCTGAATTGGAGTCTGATGTCCTCAATAGACTTTCGTCGGGCGTGGAGTCAGGGGTTCTCGGTAGGCTGTTGTCAGGTGTGGAGTGTGTTGTCGTCGGTAGAATATTGTCAGTCGTAGAGTGTTTTGTCCTCGGTAGGCTGTAATCAGGCGTGGAGTTTGGTGTCCTCGGTGCGCTGTTGTCAGGAATGAATGAGTTTTCCTCGGTACTCTTTTGTCAGGCGTTAAACGTGTTGTCCTCAGTAGGCTTTTATTAGACGTGAAGTGCTGTGTCGCCGGTACGCTGTTGTCAGGCGTTGAGTGTGATATCCTAGGTAGGCTTTTATCAGGCGTCAGGTGTGGTGTCCTCGGTAGGCTGTTGTCAGGCGTGGAGTGTGATGTCCTCGGTAGGCTGTTGTCAGGCGTGGAGTGTGATGCCCTCGGTAGGCTGTTGTCAGGCGTGGAGTATGATGTCCTCGGTACGCTGTTGTCAGGCATAGAGTGTGATGTCCTCGGTAGGCTGTTGTCAGGCGTGGAGTGTAATGTCCTCGGTAGGCTGTTGTCAGGCATGGAGTGTGATGTCCTCGGTAGGCTGTTGTAAGACGTGGAGTTTGATGTCCTCGGTAGGCTGTTGTCAGGCGTGGAGTGTGATGTCCTCAGGACACTCACTTCACAGCAGATCGGTAAAATATCATTAGAAATGAGTGGGGCTATAACTGTTACTTTAGCTCTTTTACATCTAATTCGCGTGGTATAGCTATTCTTTTAAATAATAATTTTGAATGCAAAGTACACAAAGAAAAAAGGGATTTAAATGGTAATTTTCTTGCTCTTGACATTGACATTGAGGGTTCCAGGACAACGCTTATTTCTCTTTATGGCCCAAACCG